TCAGTCCTTGGAAACTCGGGCACCTCGCCCTCCTATACTCCAACTGCCTCAGACCTCGCGCCTGGGGGACTCCCACCCCCACCTGGCCCCCATTTTACACAAAGTTGTTCCCTCCCCCTCCCCCCATAAAAACAGCTGCCATGGTTTTCAGGACACGGTTCACCCTAAGCACACCCAAGGTCCAGAATTTAGAAGGCTTCTGGGGAGCAGGGGCACCTGGGAGAGAGTCCAGATGGGCTCTTGCGGCGGGGACTTTGGCACTCAGACATCTTTGAGGGGGCACTAACAGAAGACAGAAAGGGGGCCATGGGCAGGAGCACACTGGACGGGTAGGCAAAGGCCGCTCCATCTGGGAAATTCAGTAAAAGCCAATCATCCTGACAGCTCTCGTGTAAATAGCTGCCTGCTGCAGGAGAGCCATGTCCTCTGTGGCACGCGTGTGCACGCACATGGGCACTCGCACGGGCTCACACCCAGCTATGTGCTCGCTCCATCCATCCATCCATCCATCCATCCATCCATCCATCCATCCATCCATCCATCCATAAGTTTCCATGGCAATCCCAGTCCCCAGCAATCAGCCAGGAAGTTTCCAGATCTGCCCAAGGAATGGGCTGCCTAACCTCCTACCCAAAGCGGAATAACTGGAGCCCAGGATGACCTGTATATTTTTGGCAGGTCACCACTTGCTTTGGGTTGACAGAAAGAATCTCATTGAGCTCCTCAATGGGACTCGGAAGACCAAGTCCTCAAAACTTCAACCTCTACCCCAAGGAAAAAGAGCTCTTATTGCACCCACTTTTCAGTTCCTCACCTCTAACTGAAAAGGACCCCAGGAGACTCAGGGAACCCAGAGATCCTGTACAGGGCTCATGGAAAAGTTCAGGAGGCTGGGAGATCCCAGATTCCAGCCCCCCTAAAGGGGTGGTCACAGCGGCCAGGGGGGCACCACTGGCCTATGTGACTTCCCTGCCATCACCTCATGGGTAGGAACAGAGCAGATAGGAGGAGACTCGAGGGGGTGTCGGACAGGGCTAGCTTCTTGGGCATGCAACCCCTGCAGCCACACGGGTGCTCAGAAGGGCACCCACTCAGTCTCATGTCGTGTTCTTGGGGTCCTGAAATTCTTATTTCAGGACAAGGGGCTCCACGTTTTCATTTGGCACTGAGCCCCACAAAGTCTTGGGTTTGGGTTTTGGAAGATCACAGGACCTGAGTTTGAATCTCAAGACTCTGTCTCTTTTAAGCGAAGTGATTTCAGAAAAGCCACTAATTATCCCTGGCCTTAGGGCTCAGCAATAAACTGGGGGTGATCACATCTGCTCACACAGTGGCCAGGGGAACAGAGAGGGATAAAATGGGGACACGACAACAGGTTCCTATCAAACTCAAAGGGTGTTGATTAAGAGGGCAAACGAGGCCCGGGGTGCTGGTGCCGCCGGCGGTGGCTTCCCCCACTCTATGCTGCTGTGGCAAGAGGTCTGTTTCCAAAGTGGTGAGGACCAAAGCCTCCGTCATGCCCAGCCCGCTGGCCCCATTTGCAGGTGAAGAAACTGGGACAGAGTCAACAGATGACCTGCCTGTTGTCACCGAGGTGCCTCCAGGCAGGGTGAGGCTGAGGACATACTGTTCCCACTGTCCAGGTCTCTGCCTTGGCCAAGGGACACTTGAGATGGGGCAAGTGACAAGGACTTGGAAAGGGGAGGAGGGACAGGCGTCGTGACACCCCATCACACACTCGAGCATGAAGGAACACACGTGCGCACGCACACGCACACACACGCGGCAAAATTAAAGCTGAGAACTTGGCCAAAAGAAAAAGCCTACCCCTGCTCCATCGAAACTTATTTTAGGGCAGGAGGTAATTGCCAAGGCTCCAAATAAAAAGCCAACCACAGGCTGTAAACGGCTCCAAGTCTTTAATTAGACCCCAAGGAAAAAAAAAAAAACAGTGGCAAAAAGAAAATGAAAGTAGGAGAAGCTCCCAGAGGACAGAACACGCATGACCCCTTCTGCCGTCCCCCTCCTGGCTCCTTGTGGTCGCCACCCTGCCTGTGGCTCCACAGGCCTGCACTGCCCAGAGCCAAGAGGGCACCCTAAGCCCGACTGAGGGCCAGCTCTGGGCCCAGGCCTCTCTGAGGGCCTCCCTGCCCACGGCCCAGCCAGGGAGGCTGGCCTCCTGTCAGGGCACCACTGGGCCCAGGAATGAGGCAGAGAGAGTGCTCTGGATATGGAGCGGCCTTTGACCCCCCTTGAAGGTCTGCCCAGGAGGCCACAGGCCCTGCTCCTGGGCACACTGAGCCATCTGCCCATACCCACCATCTCCCAGTCCCCAGAGCTGTCACCCACTGTACCCCCAGCCCCTTTCCTTAGGTCACGTGAGGCAAAACAGATGACTTCATAGCTTCTCCCCGTGTGGTCCCTTTCAAGCAGGAGTGGACACTCAGAATCCTTAGAGTGACAAGTGGCACATGAGGGAGGCCACCCAGTCGGCTGTGACGTTCCACTAAAGCAAGGTAAGCCCACGCAGACCTTCTGCACAGCAGCCACTGGCCGTCCCACCCCGGCCCCTGTTGAGCCCTGGCCCTTGGAGAACACAGGACACCTTAGAGGGTGGAGGGGAAGAAGAGGGCAAGCTGCCTTGGGAAAGAGGGGTCTGCAGAGGGGAGGGGTCTGCACGTCCCCGTCCCTCAGAAACTGATGCAACCAAGGGGACCAACTCATCCCTCAGGCGGAGGCTCTTGCTAAGTGCCCGTCGAGCCTGGGCCAAACCGTGCCACTCATGTTCCGCCAAGGCCAGGGGAACGGCACGTCAGCCGGGTGGCCAGGGAAGGGCCTGGAGCACAGCACTCGAACACCTGGCAGGCAGACAAGCAGAAGCCCTGCCCAGGTTCCGGGCTTCGCACAGCAGAGGGACGACGAGGTGGCTTATGCCCGCCAACAGCCAGCCCACTAACAGTGGGCACGGCACGGGAAGGGAGGGACCTGCCCCACCACGCAGCAGGGCCACATGCTGAGATGCCAGCTCTTCTCCCTTGGTCCCTGCAGCTGCCTGGAACCAGAGTGGCCACACCCACAGCCGGCTGCCCCTCCCCAGGAGCCCTGGCTGGGAGCCCCGCTACATTCCCCTTAGACTCACCCTGTCCTCACTCCTCCTGAGCCTAGCGGAGGAGATGTCCTAGAAACGATGAGTGGACGACTGGATGGATGGACTTATCCCTACCAGTGCTGCCGTCAGTCCCCAGAGGGAGCGGCAGGCCACGCCCTGCTGTGGATGTGAGTCTTCACCCACTTCCTCCCCTGTTTCTCAGACAGAATATCAGCGACAACAAGGTAAGGGCAGGAATGCGGGCACCAGCCCTAGCCCAGCGCCTCCCGGGTCCAAGGCCATCACAGGCATTTTAGAGACTGCATCCCCGCAGAGAAGGCACAATCATGTCACAGAGGACAGTGGAGCTGAGCATGGCGAAGGGATGGCCACAGTTCTACGAAACAGCGACTCGGGTGGCCTGTCTCAAAGCCCATCTCTCCCATCTTCCTCCCAATGGGTTCTCCCTCCTGACCACCAGCTAGCGACAGGAGGGACGGGCCTAGAGACCTAGTGCACTTTAAGTACAATGTCGGTGACAACTGTGATTCTGCCATACACTGCGCCCTGCCGTGACCACAAAGGCCTGCATGGCCAGAGCAAGTGGCCGGGTCTTTTGGCCGGCGGGGCAGCCCTGACAGCACCTAGCGGTCAGCCGGGGCCTCGCTGGTTCCTGCGTCATTCTCCTCGGTGGGGGTTGGGGCGTGAGGGTCAGGTCCAGCCATCCAGGTGAGAGGGGAACTTTCTGACCAGGACCCTGACAGTGGCTGCCTCCCCACTTCCTTCCCAGCTTTGGGATGGGCTGGGAGAAGCAGGCCTGGCCCCTGGCTGAGGCAGCAGGAGTCCCGGCACTCTCCTGCGAGTGGGAAGTTGCGTCACTGGACAGAAGCGATGAGCCCTCTGCCCCACCCTCTTGCTTGGGACCCCACGGCGAGTCACTGTCGGCTCTCCCTCCTCCTTCCTTTCTATACCGCAAAACTCCCAGGGAGTCCCTGGCCCCCTTCAACCCCGTGTGGCCCAGACAGCTCCGAAGAGACAGGGCATGGAACAAGAATTCTTGCTCAGGTTGGTCGGGGTGAGACGTTCTAAGTGAGGCTCCGGTTCCTCCTCTTACCTTCAGGGATCCAGCCAGGGAGCCGGGGCAAGGGAGGACCGAGTCTGCCCCTGCTTCTTCCAAGCGTCAAGAGATGACAGCCACAAAACACTGACCGAAACCCCAAACGACCCAGGCCTGCGGGACTCTGCTCACTGGGGTCACCGCGGACATCCCTGTTGGCACTCCTGAGTTCTAGAGGAGGTGGTGGACTCTGTGGTGCGTGTCTGTGGCCTCCAGTCAGACAGCCTGCATGCAGGCGGGCTCACCTGGCCAGTGACATCGCCTAACAGAACACTGAGTCCTGGTGGGCAGGGGTTCAACAGAGGCAGAGTCAAGCAAGGCCTGGAGCCATAGCCCTGGGTAGCCTCGGCAGGTCCGAGGCCCAGGAGTCAGGGACGTCCACCCCCCACCCTCGTACCAAGTCCTGCACCATGACCAGGGCCTAGCCTCTGTGTGACCTGGGCCTCAGTGGGTAGAACTGCTTCGCTCTTCCAGGAAGTGCCATGCCACTTATACAGTGAGGCTCAGTGGGACTCCCTGGGGTGGCTGTCAGGATGGGGGCCTGTGCTCAGTGAAAGGCCTGCTCACAGTTAGCACCCCGTAAATGTTACCTGTGCTTGTCACTGTTGTCACTGCTAATATTTTCATATGCATCACTCTTTTTTTTTTTCCTAGTACCAGGGATTGAACCCAGGGGCGTTTAACCACTGAGCCACATCCCCAGCCCTTTTTTGTATTTTATTAGAGACAGAATCTCACAGAGTTCCTTAGGTCCTCGATAAGTTGCTGAGGCTGGCTTTGAACTCTCCATCCTCCTGCCTCAGCCTCCGGAGCTGCTGGGATTGCAGGTGCCTGCCACCGCACCCGGCAGCATCACTGTCTTTGATTCCAAAGTCCTTGTAGACTGAACTTCAAGGAAATGGAGAAGACCTGAGCTTGCAGCCTACAAAAGCCGTATTTCCTAAATTCTTCATCCCCAGAATCAAAATCAGTGAGGGTGGGGTGAGGGGAATGTGATTAGAGGCCTTGAGGGATCTGGCCAGGTCACATGAGCCACAGTGACCCAGAACTAGCCCACTCGGGATCCAAGATGCGTGGACCTGAGAGTATCCAGTAGAGGACGGGCAGGTGACAGGCACTTCCGGCCCCATCTTTTGGGGGGCTGGTCTTTGGGGTGAAACATATTTATCTAGGGCAGCAAGGGTTAACGCCGGGGCTGGGATAGGCCAGGCAGCACGGAGCACTCCCTGTTTATTAATAAGCTATTTATCACCAGCTTTGCTTTTAATGCCATTTGGGCTTAATGTCGTTAATGAAATATAAATACCCACGCTAACGATGTCGGTCAGAGGCAGCACGGGCAGCAGACGGCTCGAGAACCAGGGCCAAACCACCGGGCACGCTGGGGAAGAGGCTGAGAGCTCAGGAAGCGGAAGAGGTTCCCACCAGCTCGGCACCCCCGGCCCGACTGCTGCACCACAGACTCCCTGGCTGGCTGTGCCGGGAAAGGCCGGAGGAGGCGGCCCACGGGGAGAGGGGGCCTCCGCGGGCGCAGATGCTGTTAACTCCTAGAGCACAGAGCCGGGGCCCGCGCGCTCCCACCTCAGGGCAGTGCCCGCCTGGCATCGGGCCCCTTGGCTGCAGGAGGCTGGACTTCCACCAGCTGGCAGCTGGCCTCTCTCGCTGCCCTGAGCTCCCTGACCACGAGGAACAGAGCCAGGGTGACAGGGGTCACGAGAGCCAGCAGGCTGGACCCCATCAAGCTTTCCAATAAAGGCGCGCCCCTCCTGCCCTGAGAGTGACATCCTGGGCAGCCAGCCCGGCTGGACAGTGTGTCCTTCCTGAGAAGCCAGCACTCACTCTGCTCTGTGGCCGTGCAGGTGGGCATGGGGAGGTCAGCAACGGGTATCTCTGTTCAGTGCCCAGAAACCTGGAACAAGGAGGGGCCCTGAATAGCAGGCTGTTGTCCCTGACCTTGTATGTGACCTGGCCTGGCCCCTCCCACACAGGAGGCCACCCCTGCTCAGAACAAATGCCCTGGTTGTCCGCCCAACCCAGATGACCCCGGAACTTCGAGCCTTCCCCTTAGGCGCAGGCTGGATTTCCTAGATGCCAGCTTCCCCTGGGACAGGTGGCCGGGGGACACTGTTCCCTCGCTTGGGGCCACAGATGTTCCAGAGGGGACTTAGACTCTAAGCATCCAAGGACCACCTGGGCCCAACAGGTTGGAAGACAGGCAAGTGGCCGACATCTGTCCTCCTCGTCCTCCTCTCCCTGTACTGTGACCACGAGGTCACCAGGACCCCAGCCTCACCCTGCTTGAAAAAGCCCCAGGTGGCTCCCCGGGAAGTGCCACCTCTTCCAAAGGGAGCCCCAAAGCCTCTGGCCCTGCTCTCAGGTTCGCCAGAGGAAACGTGGAAGCAGAATGTCTCATACTCAACGAAGACACCTTTAGTGGGAGCCGATCGCCAACAGCCCAGGGAACGTACTCGTGCTGAGGATGGGGCGCAGGCCACCTGAGGCTCGGCCACACCCGGGTCCTGCATCTATACTTGCTAATGCTGACGACGGTATCCCGGCTCCTCAGGTGGGGACAGTTTCTGGCAGGTGACAAGACCATAAGAGGCAACAGAGGAGAGCAGAGTCCTTGCCTGTCTGGGGACAGCGGAGTCCTCTAGGAGGCTCCTTTCCCATCTCTCCCCTTCCTCTTCCCTCACTGGCCACTCCTAAACTGCCCCATGCCATGGCTCACCTATGGGGGTCCCCCCTCCATGAACCCCCCCCCAAAGTCACCTCCATGTCCCTGAGGAGCATGGGGCTCATTTGCTGGGGCTTGGTGGAGCTCAGCTCCGAGGCTAATCCCCTGGGTGGCTCCTGTCAGATTATTAATTAGCTAAAGCGGATCGGTCCTGAAACAACATGCGCTTGGACTTCAGATAAAGCAGGCCAAGGAAACCAGGCGGGGGGCTGCTTAAAGTGACAAGACCCTGATGGGGAACTGCTCCCAGGGAGGAGGCTGAGGCTGGGGCTGAGTGAGTTCCAGATACACCCCCCCAGCACCCTCTGGCCCATCCCAGGTGAAATGTTGCTAGAGTGCCTCCGAGGGGTATGTGTGTGTGGGGAGGGGGACTCTGCACATCGGGGACCATGAGAGGAGGGGCCAGTGACAATAGGGTCTTGTTTTTTAATAAAGAGCTTGTGCCTAATCAGATCACGTCAGTCAGAGCTCTTCAAAAAGCATCTCGTTTTACTCGGGGTAACAGCCAGAGTTCTCACGATGGCCTGCAAGGCTTGTAGGATCTGTGGACCGCACCCCCCTGCCCCAGCCTTGATCTCCAGGTCACTCCTTCCCAGCCACCCTGGCCTCCCTGCTGTCCGCCTGCCTCTGGGGCCTCGAAGCTGCTGTTCCCCTGGACAAGAACACTCTTCCTCCAGATTCCAACCAGGGTGACCACGCCCTCCCTTCTGTTTTGTCTCCGCCCTGGTGTTACCACCTCAGTGACCCTTTCCCCCAGAAGCCACATCTAAAATCACGAACATCCACCTGCCCACCCTACCCCGTTCCATTCCCGGGAGCTGCTTTAATTTTCTCTTTAACACGTCGCCAATGAACATCTCCTTTCCTTCCTGATGCCCTGGACCGTTTGTTTCCCTCCCACCAGCATGTAAATTCCACGAGGGTGGGAATCCTCACCTCTCTGTGTACTGTTGCACTTTCGGTGTCTAAAACATGGGTATGCAGTGGTGCTCAATGGCAGCAACTGATTAATGAATGAAACCGGAGGTGAACGGGCAGAGGTTGGAGGTCAGGACTGGACCACCAGCTCCTCTGGTTCCGAGCCCATGTGGCTGAGCCCTGTCCACCCCAGGACCACTTCCTCTCCCCTGACCCTATCTGACCCACCCTTTCCGGTTCTGGCCCTTACACTCGGTGCCACACGTGCCCTGCTCCTAAGCATTTCCGCTCAGCTGCATTTCCAGGTTCTGGTCTTCTGAGGGGTCACCTCGGGGACCCACCTACATGCCATTCAGATCCCCTTCCCCAGCTGGAACTGCCCCGGGGAACAGTGCCGGGTGGTGACAAGCGGGAACATCAGGACGCACAGCTGCTTCCCGGGCCCCACTCAGCGGCTGGTGAGCTCCTGGGCTTGGATTGTTTTGACTTGAGTCGGTGAAGCTGAAATACTGAGTCACAATGGCCCTAAACTTCATTACCAGCTCTTAACCCAGATTACTAAGGGAAAAAAAAAAAAGTTGCTTTTAATTGCTTTTCTCGATTAGCATTTCTGGAAAAGGAACTAGTGTTTAATTACACCTCCTCTCCTCTCCCGCCCTGGCCACAGCGGTCTCAACCCCAGACCAGCAGAGCAAGGCTCGGGTGGGACAAGCCTCCTGCTCCCGAGGGAGGTCAACCAAACCCAAGAGAAAACGTGGGCGGGGAGCAGAAGGTGAGGATCACTCCAAGGCCCCGTGTGACCGAGAACAAGCAGCAAATGGCGTGGGGGGGTGAGTGTGTGTCACCATCAACGACCTGGGGGATGGGCTACAAGGGTCCCACTGGTGGCTCGTGCCTTGGTCCAGTGACCTCTGGCTTAAGGACTCTCACCTGGATCAGGTCTGTTTCTCTGTAGATTCTGGAATGAAAGAGGTCAAGGGGACGCTGGTGGGACAGCAGGAGCCGGCAGGTCTATATGGGAAGGGGACAACGTGTGCCCAGTCCCCGGGGCTCCTCTGTTACTGGTATTTTTTTGCTGCAGGCACCCAGAGGCCACAGGGACTGAGGCCGAGCATCTCCCCTGGTCCTTCAGGTGTCAGCGCTCCTAAAGCCATCGTTGTTCTGCTCGAGCCACCCCGGCACCAGACGAGACCCCCAGGAGCTCTACACAGGGCAGGTGCGGCCAGACCTGCCAGCCCCCGTCCCTCCGTCAGTGCCTGGGGTCACAGGGGCTTCCAATTCTATCAGGAAAAACTGAAGGGCCAAGGGCGGGGCGCCTGTGCCATCAGACAGAATTCCTACCCAGATTAAAACCAGAATCATCAGTGGCTCTTTCCAAACCTTCTCCCCGTCACAACCCCTCGCGGGGCTGCACCCCTGGAACCCACTCATCCTCCTGAGCTTCGCGGCGTCACCCAGGGTGGTGGAGAACACGGCCCCACATCCCTCTCCGGAACCCACCTCTCTGCTTCCCCCACCGCAGCTGCGTGCTCTGGAGCTGCCAGCCTCACATCAGATCAAAGCCCCGGAGGATGGCATTAGAACTGTCCAGTCCAGTTAGGAGTGAAGGTCATGGATCTAGTGCAGACCATGGAGGCAGAAAGCAGAAAAGCCTCCCACGTGGGCACAGACGCACCCTCCCCCAGGGCCAGCAGGCACGCCCAGGAGGACTGGCTGGCGGCCCCCTCCGAGCCAGGCTGAGGCACCAGCTGTGGGCCTGGGACATCCCCGTCACCCCCTGCCAGCCGCCACCAGCTTGGCCTTCTGCTCCCTCCCATCACTTCCCCGGAGGTCAGGTCTCCAGAGCTTCCTGGACGACTGAGCTGCTGTGTCACAGATTGCTTCCCACTCGGGACACCCCTGATGCCCCCTGCGAGGCGTCGCTGGCCTGCCCTTCCTGTCACGCCCCCTGGAGGTCAGGCCTCCAGAGCTTCCTGGAGGGCTGAGCTGGCCCATATGGCTGGGGGTGTGTTGCCAGCACGGGCAAGTGCATATGGGGCCCAGCAGCCGGTGGTGACAGCTTCACACTTGTGCCAGCCAGGCCTTTGGCTTGCTACCGAATTACACGGCAGTACCCAGGGCTGCACCAAGCCTGTGGGGGTGGGGGGAGCCGGGGATCGCCTCGCTATCACAGCACCAGGCTGGGCTTGCCTCCTCCTGCCTGGTCCCTGCACATGATGTCAGGACCTGGGGTAGTGGAGTCCACATCAGAGGCCCCAGAAAAAGTCACAGGGCCTGAGTTCAAGTCTGATGGGCCACCTAGGGCAATGCACAGCTTTCCACGAGGAAAGAAACCCCCCGCCCAAGAGGGCTGAGGCTGTAGCTCAGTGGCAGAGTGCTTGCCTAACATGTGTGAGGCACTGGGTTCAAGTCTCAGCACCACATAAAATAAAGAAAGAAAAATATCGTGCCATCGACGACTAAAATAAATAAATAAATAAATAAATAAATAAATGACCCCCAAGATCTCTGCAGATGTGCAAGAGCTGGCAGCTGAAATGGGACCCGTGGACCTGACCAGGTCTTAGACAGTCCCATTTCTCAGCCTCAGAGCTGATCAACTGAGGGTCTATAGGACCAGGCACGAAGGAAAAGGTTCAGGAGCTCAGAAGACAGACCACACGTAAAGCCCCACTGAGAGGAAACTCTAGGGATGTCTGTGCCCAACCTCAGACCCAGCACAGGACCCCTGGAGCAAAAGCCCAAAGCTGGTGTCGGGCAGAGTCGTAGGGCTGAAAGCATCGCCAGCATGGAAGTCACAGCCTACTCCAAGGCTGGCTGCTGGGGACGGACCAAGGGGCACCCAAGCCCTTCAGGACTTGCTTGGCCACCGGCTTGGTTCCAAGATGGCGCCCCTCCTCCAACCCACAAGGTGTAACTGTCTCAGAGCCATGGGTCTCTTGGCACTGTCAGAAAGAAGACGCAGGCCACACCCCAGGGGCTCAGAACCCTCGAGGCGTGCTGACCCCTCCTTCCCTCACCCGATTCAATCCACTGGTAAGTTCCACTAACTCTGCCTCTGGGCACACGGCTTCCATCCAGGCCCCTCACTCCTCCTGCCCCCTGGCCTCCTGGTTTCTTCCCTTGCCGCCATTCTGATGCATTCTTCCCAGGACACCCTCACACTTTTTTTTTTCTGGGGACTGGGGACTGAACCCAGAGGCCCTTTACCACCGAGCCACACCCACAGCCCTTTTTATTTTATTCTTGATAAGTTTCCCAGGCTGGCCTCCAACCTGAGATCCTCCTGCCTCAGCCTCCTGAGTGGCTGGGATTACAGGAATGCGCCAGGGCATCTGGTTTCCAGCTGTCTTTAAAAAACAAAAAGCAACTCACTACCTCCTTCCTTAAGGCGCCCCTAGGGGACATCCTGTCACCCAAGAATAAAATCCCACCTTCTCCCCTGACACATTATGCCCTACACATCCAGGCCCTGCCCTGTCTACCTCCCGGCCACTTGGCCTTTCCTCCTGGACACTGAATGTAGTGAGTTCCTCCCTCCTTAGGACTTTTAAACTACCTGTTCTCCCTTTCTGGAATATTCTCCTGCCTGCTCTTCCGATGGCTGTCCACTTCCTGTCCTTCATCTCAGCTGTCACCTCAGAGGCCTCCTCTGTGCATCCTGCCTTAAGTGACCCGGGCACATTCCATTCAGCACCAAGTCTTTGTTCAGTTTTGTGGGTGTGCTGGTTGTCACCTCTGCTACAGGAACTTGGTGAGAGCAGGGGTTTCTTGTCCACTTTGTCTACGGGGGAGAGAGTGGCAGACACCAGACCCTCTGTGACTGTAGGATAAATGTGACCAGATCTTGCAGAGAATAGCCAGAAATTGGGAGACGCTAAGCCAGGCCTGTGGACCAGAATGAGCCCAGTCTTGGCTCCCTCGCCCATGCTGTGGTGAGGCTGGATGCCTCTGAGACCAGGGGTCACCCTGCCACGAGAACCCCAGGCTGTGGCCAAGCCCGTCACTGGAAACGGACGGGCAAGTGAGGCAGGACTCGGCGACCACACTCCCTCTCGGAGCCCGCGGGGTTCCCAAGCTTCATTATCAAGCCCAAGATAGCCGATGCCAGGATGTGGGAGTCCCACCGGACCTGCTGGGCCCATACCCTGTGCCGGGTGCAAATCCCAGCTGGCACGGCCCCTGGGAGCCAACAGTGAGTGGAAACTTCAGAAAGGGAAAAACTAATGGGCATGTTTTGCCCAGAGAAAGAGGAAAACAAAAAGCCTGCCACCAAGAAGAGAAGAGGCAAACCTGTCCCCTCAGAGGGGCACTCTGCAGCCTCTGGAGCAGGGCGCAGGGTGGGCTGGGAGCCAACCTGAGGCTCCCGCCTTCCCAACAGACATCCTCAGAGAGGGCAGAGATGGCAGGAAGAGCTCCGGGAGATGCCGAGGTAAGATGCTGGCACCGAATGCAAGCAAGACCTCGCAGCCACCCATCCCCCCACGTGGCCTTTTTCAGGTGACAACAGGACAACAGCAGCACACCTTAGGCACAGATGGACCGATTCCTGGAGCCCGATCACATCCTGGATGCCAGGAAGAAGAGTGCCAGCCACATGTCGCTCCACCCCAGCAACCAAAGGCCAAGTTTGCATCTGATTTGCAAACCCTGGGTTGTATTCAGGGCTCCTACTAGTCCCCAAGGAGGCCTGGCCTGACACGAAGCGGGCCTGCAGCTTTGGGGACCCCTCCAGCAGGCATCCTGGTACCCATCATTGCAGTGCTTCCTCTCTGCAAGTTCAAAGTTCAGAGTGGCAGAGCCAGGAGGAGGGGCAGCACCCATCTGCCCCTGATGTCTGAGGGTGGCTGAGCCGGGGTGCTGACTCCAGCCTGGCACCCAGAAGAGGAGCATCCCCCAGCCAGCCTTGGCCTCTCGGGACGACATCCGGACCCTCCACCTCAGGCTCTACCATAAGTCCGTGTCCATTGGCTTTAGGTTCCCTCAGGATCCCAAGAGAATACTGAATAACCACCAATATTCAATGAGTCACCTGCCGTGTCAAGCCCCACCCCAAGGACTGGCACGTCTGCTACCTCAAGGTAAATATCTGACACTGTAGCCCCAGACTCCCCAGGGCTGGCCTCAGGTAAGGGGCTATTTCCAAGCCTGGATCAAAGGCACCTTGGTTTTGCCTCTGAGAAGGGGCTGGAGCCACCCAAGAGAGCCCCAGTGGGTCTCCCCAGGCTGAGCCCCGAGCTCAGAGAAGCCTCTGCCCATACAGAAAGGTCCCTGAGATGAAGATCCAGGATGGCATCTGACAGGCGGAGGCCTCACCTGACACCCTGGCCCGCCCACGCCATGCCATCCAGTGTCACCCACAGGACCACTGGGAGCACTCTTTAGGGTCAGTTACTCCAACTTGCGGGTAAGAAAACGGAGATCCAGGGGGGACCGGCAGTGAGCTGCAGGTGCCCGGCTCCCAGACCAGGGCCCTCTCCTCACCCTCATGTTCTTTCCACTTTCACCTGTGCTGCCTAAGCCACCACCACCCAGGCTGGAACCCACTGAGAAAGGGTGGCCTAGAGCCTACGCATTTCCCACCCTAAGGCGCAACCCCCAAACTGGCCGGCCCACTCTTCCCAGGGGCACCTTGGGAACCAAGAGCAGCTACCTTTGCATCCCAAGAGGCTGGGGTCTGAAGTCCATTCCAACACGCACCACCTGGGAGTTGCAGGACCCCCCTGTGAAGGAGGGGTTGGTGGCCAGGGCACCTGGAAGGGCCAATGGGATCTTTGTCTTCTGTCACCAAGGTCTGTGTGCCTACCAAAAAGAGAAAGGAAAACAGATTAGGCTACAGTTGGTGCCCACAAACCTGCTGCCCATAGGCGAACAAAGGAGGCAAGGTTCCGACACCTCGGGTGGTAACAAGCCAGCAACGTGTGACTCCTGGACCCTGCCTGCCAATCAGCAGGTGGCACTGCCACCGTGCATGCCACACTTGACCCAGTGACCAGTGTGCCCTTTGCACAATTATTAGCCAATTGCTATGCTAAGAATCAAACAGGGAGAGACAATACTAGGCCAATCAGGTGCCACTCTGGGAACAACAGAGGGGTCACACCCAAGGCTTGGTACCTGGGGTGAAAGGTCAGCCTGAGAATGAATCAAGCCAACACTGGAAACAGATGAGACCCAATGCGACAGAACGGGCCCCTGAGCTCCCTAACCCTGCTGCCCTCCAGATTGCCCTGGGCCAGCTCCCGGCTGCCCCACGACCCCCAGCGGTCATGGAGTCTGCAGACCAGCATTAAGCAGGGCCTGGACAGCTGCGCGGGATGGTCAACTGGGTTTCTTCTGTCTCCTTTTCCCCGCTCCCCTCTGCTGCTGCGGAGCTGGGTCATCTCATAAAAAAGAAAAGAGGGTGTGGGCAAACGCCCTGGAAGGAGGCGGCTGAGATTCATCTGTGATAGGTGCTGGGCCAAAAAAACAAAAAAAAAAGTGGCCAAAGAAAGTTGGTGCCCTGCTACCGGCAACCTTTGTGTCAATTTAAGCAAATATTGTGGTGTTTCCATGGTGATCCCTGTTTTGAATATCCACTACACTCACTTTTTAAAGGGCTTTTCCTGTTTGCGTTTCAACTTCAAACCTGTAAATATTTTCAGCCTTTTGAGAAAAAACGAGCCCGTGTGCGTGCAAACACAAACACACGCCCGAACCTGGCGCACAACTTTTCCAAGTGGCGGCCCAGCCTCCTGATGTAAGAGCAGGGTGCAGGGAATCCCGGGGCAACTCTGCCCACTCTCACCCCCACCCTGCGTATGAAGCTGGCACTGAAATCCGGGTCCTTTCCTTCCTCCTCTCCTGGGGGACTGTGACATCTGCGACGGTCAATGGCAGTGTGCTTCCCAAGTGTGTGAGCAGGCCTGGCCCTGACTGCGGTGAGTGGCATGGAGTGGGCAGCTGCCTGGCAGGTTCTCCAACTTGGCCCAGCCCTCGGAGGCCCCAGGGGGCCTCCCTGGAGAGCTGAGTGCTCCTCTCCTGCCACCTAAGGCTGGGCCCGAGTGGAAGGGAGTGGGCTCGGCAGGCTTCGGCACAAGCTCCTTCCCTCTGGTGGGGCGATGCCACCCAGGCCAGCTCCCTGGGCCAAGTGTAGAGATGGAAGGTGACAGCAGTCCAGGGTGGACTGGCCTGGCTCCCACCCCACCCTCAGCACCACACAGGGTTAACGGCGGGTTTCCTGGTTTCCATGGAGTCCTGCCAGGCCCCTAATGTGAGTTTCGTGTGATTTGGGGGAAGTGGATTTCCTTTGTTTTCCAGTTTGGGAATATTTTTTTTCTTTAAAAAAGAGGAAAAAACACTTTAATGGGAACTTCAGGGCCACTGGGAGACTCAGTCCTCTGGGCTCTGACACTCCTCCTCCGGTTAGTCCAGAATCTCCCAAAGCCCCCGCAGCACACCCACGGATTCTCGGCTCTGGGTGGGAGGAAGGGGTGCCTCGGACCACCTACGGCTGCTGCCCCCAGAATGCTTGCCTGCAGGGGTTCCACCCCAGGGTCCTCAGACTCCCCCGAAAGCCAGCGTCTGACATGGGGGGGGGTGATACTCCCAGCTCCCAGCTTTGCAGAAGGGCCACGGTATTTCCCTAGAGAAAAGGTCAAGGGACACACGCTACCTCCCAACTTCTGGAAGGAGCTGGTGGACCAGGGTCTGACCCCACACCCAAGCTGCACTCCCAGTGTCTCACGCCTGGTTCTGAAGGGGGGTCTAGTGACAGGGTAAGCGGGGTCTCCAGACCCTAGGGAGCCTAGTCTGACCTCTTCCTGCCAACAGAGGAGCCTGAGGGGCAGAGGGAGCTTCAATCAAATAAAGGGTGTGGCCAGGCCTCTTCCTGCTCCTCCTCAGTCTTCCCCATTCCTGCCATCCCCCAGCCCAGCCAGGGTGTGGCCTTACTCTGGGACTGTCCTCAAACCAAGTGGCCTGACCCATTTACCAAACCAGGGCACAGGCCTGGGGGCCTTCCATGCACTGGGGTCCTCCCACGACGCAGGCCCCAGGGGCCATGGCGGCAGCACAAATCCCGGTCAGTAGGTAAGAGCCCAGAGCGCGGATCTCCGACCAGCAGCCCCAGGGGGAAGGGGCGAGAAGCCAGATGCAGTTACAGAAATAACCCTGGGCCAAGGATCAGAGATGTGGGCCCTTCGCCGAGCCGGCTAATCTCCCAGGGCTCAGTTTCCTCACCAGTCACCCGGAAGGAGAAGGAAGGAAGGAGAGGAGGCCCCCCAGGTTGTGGGGAGACCTGGCAAAGGCTGAGAGGGGCGCTGCCACCACCTTCTCCTTCCACGCTTCAGGGAATCTAGCGCTCGGGAGGCCACGCGCCCCTTGCCTCTGCTGCTGGCACATCCGTAGTCCCTGCGTTTGGATCCCTGCTGGACTGAAATGATTTGTTCAGGGGTCTGTCTCGCCTTGGGTTCCTAACACCTCGAGGGCAGAGACCAGGTCTTAATTACCTCTGTGTCGGCACTTAGCAGAACAGCTGGCCCACAGTGGGTGGCCTAAGTGCTGGTGGAACTGAAGGAGTCCCTGATCTCACGTCAGAATCGGAAGGGCCTAGGGTGGCTTCTCCCTCTTCCCCAACCGAAAGTTTCATGGGCAGTTTCCACTCTCCATTCCGTTGAGCTCCCTAGGCCCCAACCTGCGATTTGGCTTCTCTGCCTCCCTCGTGATCCCTGTGAATTCACCACTTTCAGGCCTGAGGGGACCACTTGGCTACTTGAATCCTCCTCCCATCAATTCCAAGAAGAACTGACTGAGCACCTACTCTGTGCCTGGGAGCATGCTGGGAATAGAGAGCACTGGATGAGTGGCTCTCCCTTCTGCCAATCGGCCTGTGTGAGAACTAATATGAACTCACCAGATGCCAAGCCCCATGCCAAGTGCTCTACACGCATGATCCTGCCCAGTCTTTATAACACGAAGGCAGGAGCAATTACGGTCCCCAGGGAGAGATCAGGGATAGCAGGTACAGAGATACGGAGCAACGGGGCAAAGGTCACACCACTCGCAGGAGCTGAAGCCAGGCCTGGGCTTGGAGAATGCGGGACAAACTCACCTGCTCCTCCTCCTTCTTTCCCCATGACCTTAGCACCCACTCCACCTGATGCCACTTCCCTTCCTGAATCTCAGTTCCCACAGCCTTGAACAGCTTTCCAGCAAGTCCCCCAGGGCCTCCAGAGTGCGCTCAGTTGGACACCACAGCCAAAGACAAGGGCCACGCTCAGCCGCTCTGACTGGGCTGAACCTGGGGACGGACAGGCCCAGGGCCACACACCTGGTGTGCAGGCCAAACCCTGAGCCTGCCTGGGAAATGGGGTCTCAGCTGTGGGCATGCTCATCGCCACCTGTCATCTGATGGGATGGGGACGAGGAAGCCATCAGGAGAGGGCCACTCCAAGGAGGCTCTGGCGGGTAGGACAACTTTCATTTCGTCTCTACAGCCAAGGGGGCAGGTGGAAGGGTGTTTTGGCGGAGGGCGGCAGAAGTCTCTGCTGCCTGCCCACATCGGGACCTCCCACCGCCAACACCTGCTTCGGAGACCCTGGGTTGAGGAGCAGGGCCACAGGAGCCCTTGACTTTCACCCGGCGAATGTGCACAGGTGGGGAGGCCCCGCCACCTCTTCAAAGGAGAGGAGACACCAGGAGATGGCGGGGAAAGATCCACATTCGTGAGGACAGACAGCAGAAGATCAGCTGGGGTGGGGAAGGAACCGCGCTAATGAGCAGATTTCACAAACCACCCAGAGTGAATACAAAAACACAGACGTGTGCGTTGCCCAACTTCGGGGCCGTATGGAAAAGGAGGGAAAAAAAAAAAAACAATAAAAAAATCCACATCTTAATACAAAAATCCTACACGATGTGTTGCGGCATGAAAATGTTTTTCACCGCATTTTTCAACTGTGATCTCACACAGCCTACGACGGGTCCGCCCAGCGCAGGAGGCACCCGATGATACACACGGCAAACACACACGCTCCACCAAAACAAGGGCAGGCCGCGTTCCCATCGGCCCAGGCCGGCACCTCGCGGCTTCCAGCGGCCTCTGGAGATGGCTGCGTGACTCCAGGAAGGGCCCCCTTAGAAGGGGAGAGAGACAGTGCCCAGGGAAGGCACCAGAACCCGGCAGGAGTGACTCCCAGCCAGCTGGTGCCGTGGCCTTTCCGCACCCTGGGTGCTGTCATGCTGCCCACGGGGGACAGGGAGGGGACCCGCAGCCCAGGGGCCCTTCCTAAGTGTCACTGGCCCCACCGTGTAACTATCTGTCTCCATTTTGTTCCACCCCCACCCGCCTTTTAATTGTTGGATGAGTTTACAGAGCCATGTGCCAAAAACAATCAACTCCAGGGAGCAGAGTTAGACAAAAAAGGGCGTGTCGCCAGAGGGAGACGGGTATCCATGGTAACCACCACCTTCACAGAGCCTAGGTGAAGCCAGGGTGAGGTGGACGGTGCAGGGTGGGGGCCACACTCCACCCAGAACAGGGCCCTGGAAAAGGCTGGGACTGCTGAGCAGCTGACCACCTGGAGGGCGGGGCTGCCTGAATGTGCCCCCCTGCGCCTGCACACCCACAACACACAGGAACACGCACACTCACACATGTATGCACATCTGCCACCCTCCAGATCCCTGATCGGCATGCCCAGGGCGTGAAGGGTACAAGCTCCAGGTAGGAACCCGGGCTCCACCACTCCTCAGCTCCTGTAGCCTGTCTGTACCTCAGTTTCCCCATCAGCAAAATGGAGACGTGATCGCTCCTCCTGAGT